CATGTTTTGTACTCAATTTTATACTAATGAAAAATATTTATTGAATTTTTTTTCGTACTTACCGAATGTCACTACAAGAAAAGTGAGATTTGACGATGCGCCTTTTAGCGATGACATGTGTCACAAGTTATAACGACGACATGTTGTTATATACTATTTCTAATGATAAACGGACTTTTAGCGAAAAAAAAATGGTTGCTAAAAGCCTTGTTTCTTGCAGTGGGACCCCTATTTTTATGTTCTCCCAGGGCCTAAAAAATGTCAGGAACGGACCTGCTCTTGATTTATCCCCTTCTCCCTTAAAATTAAGACATGTTGGTTATCACCCCATTACCAACAATCCCTTACCCATTCACCATGATAATTAAAGATAGAGAGGTTGAAAATACACACACACACACCCACTTACAAATTTGCATATGAATCAAGAAAAAAATATCCTAAATGTCTGGTGATTTCACTTCCAAACTTCGTTCCTATTTAGTAGAGAAGAAAATTTCCATTCTTATGGCGTGTCACTGTGTTGGAGAACTCGAGAACCATGGCGAAATCCTTTTGAACTTTTACGTAAACAAACATTAATTCCAATCCGATACAAGAAATTTCAAGCACCCAGACATCACCCCACAAGTTATGCTCTAGCTTAAGTATTTACAGTTGCGAGGAGAGAATATATCATCACGTGGTAATGCTGTTGGTACCAGACGAATCTATAAGAGTTTAAATGTAATAGTTTGTAAAAAGGGGGGGGGGCATGAATACAAACACAAATATTTCACTTTTTTAAATCATTTATTGATAAGAGAAGATCAATAAAGAATTTACATATTGTTTGCAAAATAAGACAAAATATATAACTTATCTTAAACAATCTAAAGAACACACAAGATACAAAAAAGCAAGGAAGAAAAAACTTGCTAAAGAAAAAGCAATAACTTTGCTAGAAAGTAAGCTCAGTTGATGTTTTTCACTTGAAGTAAATGTAACTTTACAAGGTTAAGAAGTTTGTGCTTGAATGTGTCTCTTCTTGGATATATGATGATATTCTGAAGAGGAGAGTCTCCATGGCTATTTATATCCACTGCATTAAATGCAAGTCAGACGATACAAGGCACGTAGAAAGCTTCTAAAGTTGAGCATGTCCTTTGTGTTCAGATATACAAGCTTTTGGCCGAACAGTGGTCATTCACAAAGTAGGTAAGCATGTTTGGAGACAATAGGGTGACTTCGTACGAGTGCTTTACTTTGAGAGGTATGGGTTTGTTCATTGTGTGCAGGAGGATAAGACAAACACTAATCTTGATCATCAAGATTCATTTGATCGTTGACACTGGAATATTTCTAAAGTTTCTTCAATGTTTGCTGAATCTTGAGCAGACTTCACACGTGTTTGTAGACAGGCTTGTTATCACTAAAACCGCATCAGATCACGAACTGTTTGTCTCTATCTTCAGCTTTATCTTCGACATTACTAAAGGTTTTTGTGGTGTGAGTTTTGTCTTCTTGAAGAATACTTGTTCTTTGAGATTTATAATACATGTTCAGTGATCGCTGAACAAACTCAGTGATGATCACTGAAACTGAATAATAAGAACTAAGTACTTTYGATTAGGTAAAAAAGATCATCATCAAATCACAGAGAGAGAGAGGGAATCAACAATCTACCCTTATTTGATGATGACAAAGCAACATAGATAAAATTGCTTAGTTGTTATAGTATGGAAAAAGGTACTTGAAAATTCATGTCCCTTTTTACTATTTCGGGATCTTTTTCAGTGATAGAGTTTATTATGAAAAATCACTTATTTGTAAAGGATTACAAGGAAAGAATGAGTTTACATAATATGAATAATTTAAAACTGAGAGCATATTCACTGACAAGAAAGGTGTCAGAGAAGGTAAAGGATAAATATAACTTATAAGTACATGTCCCAATTACTCTTTTCAAGGATCTTTTTCAGTGAACCAATCATTGTATCATTCAAGACAAAATATTACAAATGACTACAATTGGTTTTGGCAGGCTTAATAAGTTAAAGCTATACACTGAAAGAAAAGATAAAAGATATACAAGGTTTACAAGATTGAAAGGTTTCTAATCTGGATCGTTGAAGTTGATGTAGTCAGGATCTTCTCCTAGAATCTTTCTTCTGAGCCTTTCCTTTCGAATATTGCGGTCCATCATCTCTCTATAGAGATCTTCGTTCAACCAAGTTCGAAGATACTTTATGGAACTCAGACACTCGCTGAAACATGTACTGACCATCATAGTCAATGTTGGGAATCACACATTCAGTGAATTAAGTCACTGAAGTGGTTGGGGTAGGTGCCACACTTATGTCATCCATATAAGATATATCTTTTTTTTTCTAAAAAGGGATGGAGGGTGAGAGCAGATGTCTCAGGGTTAAGGCAAAGTCCAATAGATGAGACATGTTGAGAGGTCTCAGCTAGCTTAGAGGGCTTCCCCTTTATGGCTTTCTTAACCCTCTTTGAGGGATTAAGAGTGGCTCTTTCAAGGATAGAGAGATAGTATCTTGGATAGACTTTGGGGGTTAGGCCAAAGTCATTTCTACTGAAGAAGAATAAGAAGAAAGAAGAGAAAGAGTATTGACTATCCTCAACATTGGAAGGAATAGACCAATATCTAAAGGCTTGGACTTGTGATCAAGAATTCTTGATCTAAGCCTGTAGATGGGAAGGTCACTTTGAGCAGAGTAGTTTGTTCTAAGGATTCTGGATAGAATTCTGCTCAGGAACTTGGTGTAAGAGACCAGCTACTCCCTATGGCGTTTGTTCAGCTTCAACTCCAGGTCATCAAAGATAAGCTGAGAGAAGTCAGCGTTGACGTTTCTGATGACCGAGCAATGAATGTTCAGCGCCACCTGACTTGCTTGGTCTTAGCCTTCTGTCTTCCCACCCATGCATTGAATGAAGTGAGGGAACAAGTATTGCCATACTGTAGACATCCGGTTCTTCTCAACCTTGGTCAGAGACTTATTGAGCTCTGAATGAAGTCTTTCTTCATTGGCCAGTCATAGTGAATATCATCTTGAAATTTGACAATGAATTCACTATTTAGGTCGCTGACATAGGGAACGGTCCTTGGAAGCTGCAGAGTAGAATGAACCATTGCAGGACCAAAGCTCAACGTCATGTTGTTGATCTGGTAGACGATCTTCATGTTGGGGTTCCCATTCTTGTCCTTGAAGGTCTTCACCTAGGCGGTGTATCAAAAATGTCTTGAGATATCCTTCACCATGACAGGTTGGAAGGTGAGAGCATATCCTAGCATGTAGTTTTTAAGGAATAAGGCATCATTCACAAAATAGGGTTTGTCTGTGGGGATCTCCAAAAGAGCAATATGGTTGTTTGATTTGAAGGAGCATTATTCAATACCAAAATTTACATTTGATGCAGAGGCCATTTTTGTTTAAGAATAACACATAAGTTTGGAACAATACACCAAGTTATCGTCACAATGCTTTTTAGAATAAAAGTTTGAAAGATAAACTTTTCGTTTGAAAAACCAAAAAGAAATAGGGTTTTCGAGAGGATTTTTAAGAAACACAAGTAATATAAATCAAGAAAAAGAAGGATTTATAACTTACATTGTTTGTATTTAAAAGAAGAAGAAGGGTTTTAAAATACAAACAAGTTTCTTTTTGAAGATCAACAACCAAAAATAGAAAAACAAACCTGTTGTAGAAAAAAGGAAGAAGGAATTGGTTTGTTGAAGAAGTGTTCTTGGTGCAAAAGAGAGGGAATTTATGTATAGTTTTGATAGAGCAAAGAATGAACGAATGGGTAAGAGAGGTATTTATAGGTGAGATAAGAGAGAGAGGAAAGAGAAAAATGACGCTTCAAAAAGATGTGCAATTATGATTTCTTCTGCAYGTCATTTGAGAGTGATTGGTTTGGGAAGAGTAATGGACAATGTGTGTTAGAAAGACGCACATGAAAATCGTCCATTTATTTTAGAAAATAAAGAGGTCATAAAATATGACCGTTCATTAGTTTCTCTTTTAAAACATTTTGATCACTGAATAAAGAAAAGTGTTTAGTGATAGTTTAAGTTTTAAGAAGGAAGGGATACGTAAACATACATTGGAGAGCAAGATACATTTAACTTAAGAGTTCAGTGATAGATTAAGAAACATTGAATCATTTCACCTTGTAACACTGAGTGAAGCTTAGTGCTGAGAAGGTTAATCCTCAACATCAGTATTCCAAGTTCGCTAACTAAAAGATTGAATCTTGTTTCATCAAACGGTTTAGTGAACATGTCAACTAGTTGGTATTCAGTGGGTATGAAGTGAAGTTCAATATTACCATTCATAACATGATCTCTATATGTTTGGTATTAGAGTGAAGTACATGATTTTTTGCAATGGCAATAGCACTAGTGCTATTGCAATAGATAGGGATCTTCGAAAGCTGAAGGTCATAATCACTGAGTTGATTTTTCATCCAAAGAATTTGGGCACAACAGCTTCCAACGGCTACATATTCAACTTCATCAATTGATTTGGATACTGAATTTTGCTTTTTTGCTTGTCCAACTCACAAACTTTCCACCAAGAAGCTGTCAGCCTCTTGTGGTGCTCTTCCTGTCTATCTCGCAACCTACAAAATCACTATCTTCATAACCTATTAGGTCAAAACTTGAGTCTTTGGGATATCGAAGGCCCAGATTAGGAGTACCATTCAGATATCTGAAGATGCATTTTATGGCAACCAGATGAGATTTTTTTTTTGAACGGAAACCAGACAAATTTTATAAACCATAAAAATAAAGTACAGCAAAACAACCAACTAACAGACCACTACCAACAAAAACAAGAAAGAAAAAGACTTGGAGAAAACCCCATACCAAGCCACCAGAAGCCAAAACAAACAAAGTCCAACCGACTCAAACAAACAACTAAAAATAAAGAAAAGGAGATTGAAAAGCACAAAAGCTCCCCAAACCCAACAACAAACCATGAAATCAACCAACATTACCCAGCCACACGAATTTCAAGTGTCTGAACAATGACTTGAATAATCTGCATGGCATTTCGACGATCCCCAGTAAAAAGTCTTCGATTTCGTTCTTGCCAAATGAAATAGACAGAAGTCGCTACCGCAAGTTTCTGCTTTAACCGCTTTGGACGATGATTAGAATCCGAAATAGTTTCCAAAATTTGATCCCACACATAAGGCATAGTAGTCAAATCAACAATACGCAAGACGTTATCCCAAACTTTACGAGCAAAAGTACACTGGAAAAATAAATGTGCATGGCTATCCACACTCTGACCACAAAGCGAGCACTCTAGGTCAGGAGGTTCATCCTTCCAAAGTAAACGGTCTTGAGTAGGAAGACGCCTCTGGCAAGCAAGCCATAAACAAAAAGCATGTTTAGGAATATGACCAGAGAACCACACCGATTTATACCAAGGTACAACCGGATAAGAACCCTCCAACGATGCCCAAGCATTTCTAACTTCAAATCTCGAACAAGAAGTACAATCATCCCCCCAAAGAACATGATCCCGAATAGAATCATTTAATGAAGGCAAAGGAAAAGAATTAAGCACATCAAACCTAGCACACCAATCATCAGGCCAAACTCCATTCAAACTCATGACAAGCTCACGTATCGTAGTTGCAGGAGAAAAACCACAAGAATAGATGAACCGATAAGTCATAAAAGCCGAAAGAGGACCACATGGAAGCCAAGAATCCTCCCATGCATTAGTATCCCTACCATCACCAATTTGAGACATAAAATACTGTCGCAAATGAAGTCGTATGTCTAACAATTTACGGAAAACCCACGACCAAGTATAATTTTTCTGTACCAACCAGAAGTGATTAGTTCGAAGATTATGACTATAAATCCACCGAACCCACAAAGAATTATGATGGCGAACAATATCCCAAACGTGTTTAGCAAGTAAAGCCCTGTTCCAAGTCGCCAACCTTTTAATACCAAGACCCCCCGATTCAAGAGGACGACACACCACTTCCCATGATAATCTACACCGCCCACGAGGATCATCCCTTGGTGCCCATATAAATTTTTCGAAGATCGATTCTATATCATGAATTAAACCAGATGAGATTTTGTGGGTTCATATTGATATTGTGCACAAAGACAAGTAGAATACAAGATATCAGGTTGGCTAGCTGTGAGATACAACAATGAGCCGATCATTCAATTGTAAGCGGTAATGTTTACATAATTCCCATTTGGGTCCTTGTTTAGCGTCAGAGGAGGAGCCATGGGAGTTTCTATAGATGAATTGTTGGTTATGTCAAATTTCTTTAACATTTCCGTGACATCGCTCGGTTTGTTCTCGCGAATGATGTAAAGACTGGAAAATAAATAACTAATGCGAAAATGTAAATTGCATAAATTAAATTGCAAGAAATTAAAGTACTGGAAATTAAAGTATATAATTATAAATGACTAAAATTAAATTGCAGTAAAGTAAAGTGCATAAATTAAAATATTGGAAATTAAATTGCAGAAAAGTAAAGTGCTGAAAAGTAAATACTGAAATTAAAGTTACTCTAAACTAAAAGACATAAAGTAAAAATAAAAACTTGTAAGAGGGAAGCTAAAGAAACTTGTACTTTAAGTCACGAAGCTGACAAAACAAGTTTCGTCACTAAAAGTAAGGGAGTACTTGGAAATATTTAGAAAATAGATTTTTTTTATCTACGTAAATTGATCGTGAGCCACAAACATAAAATCCAATGTAATGCAACAATCATCGATTAATTCCAACTTGTAACGAAAATCAGAAAGCTTTTAAAAATCAAGAGTAAGAAAAGAAATGAAATGAAACTTGAACACTTAGACTTAGATTAATACTTGAGAACAAAGTAGCAATAATTCTTCAACAAATTCGGTTCTTGTTTGTAAGCAAGAAAACAGAAAACTAGACAAAATATTAGAGAGAAAGTATTAAAACCCAAAGATTGTAAGTATTTTTAGCCTAGAATTAACTCCTATTTATAAGGAGCTTGGAGCTTACACAAGAAGACTAGCTAATAAGACAGAAGGGAGCTTATAGAGGAAGCCAAATTAGGCCCAATGCCTTAAAATCTGCGGCTCCAAGGGGTGCGCCCAAAAATTTCGGCCTAGAGAAAAAGTGCAGTCCACTGCCTGGTGCTGTAGGACTGCTGTAGGACTTGGCCAAAAATCTGCATAAATAGAAAAATAACATTAGATATGATATAATACTAATATATATATATATATATATATATATACACACACACACCCACCCCACACACACACACATACATACATAATCATAAAATGACATAAAAGGACTCGATTTAGACACTAATGGGCAAATAAAACAAATAAAAACGATTAAGAAAATGATGTAATAAGGTTAATAAATTAACACTTATCAGATACCTGTATCATAAAAGTATTATAGATCAATACGACAATGTACATAATAAAACTATAGAACGCAACGAAAAAATATACCATATTTAAAAAAAATACATGTTCCATGCATCCAAATTTTCTATTAACCGTAAATAGTCATAAGATATTATATGGTTCATTTGTTGACTGATAAATCCAATGAAAACCAGAAGCAAAAGACATAGGCATACTACATCAATGTTTGTTATTGTTCCTAATTTTTGTTGTTCAAAAACTCGGGTAAGATCAGTCCTGTGTACCGGATGAGGTTACAAATGCTTCATGATAATCCCCCTGATAGATATAAGATAAATAGGTTACAAAAACAACATATAAAAGCTTTTTGTAAAAATGAGATTATATTAAAATTAAGTTAAGTAAACTTACCATGATGTAGATGATTAAATTTCTGTAATGGAGATTGTATAAAGATAATGGAGATTGCATTAAGATAATGAAGATGAAAGTGTTAGTTTTGTGTTGGTAATAAAAAACTTGAATTGTTTATATAGTGGTGTTGTGGAGAAAAAAGACAAAATTAAATAGTGTTCTATTGAAAAAGAACAAATATCTGGAAAAAAATCTTGATGGTGGGGCCCTTACGCACTGGCCGGTGCGTAAGGGTGGTGTGGTCTTGTCAAATTAATGTCAGCCGGTCAAGTCATCGTCAAAACAAGTTTTTTTTTTTTTTTTTTTTTTTGCAGTTTAGTCCCTCTACGCATCGGTTGGTGGTAAAGGAGTAAGAATCTTACTCGAAAAGAGTAAAACAAGGACCAAAAGTCTACACCGGTAAGTGAGAGTGACAACTCTTACCATGGTTAGTGCTTAGCGGATAAATTGTTGCATACAATGTTGTTTTCGTAGACTAAAATCTTACCTGGTAAGTAAGCGATAGTATTGAATTTCACGGGTAAGCGCTTACCGGGTAAGTGATTAAGTAAACGGCCCTTAAATGATGGTTAGATTTTTAAATTCTTAAATTTTAGGGTTAAAATGTAATTTTTTTGAAATTTATAGGGTTATTTTTGTCACGTTCCCATTAAAAGCATGAGGAGGAAAACTATTCAAACTTTTGAAAGCTGAAATAAGGTGTAAGAAAATTGTGTGTGTAGAAAGTAAGGTTTGAAGCTACCTTTTTGGTAGGGTTTAAAACCATTGCATCATGCACTTGTATATTGTGTTTTGAGAGAGTGATTAAGAGATTTTTTGAATTTGATGCTTTAAAATGTAGTACATTGTGTTTTAGAAGTTGTGATAAGTAGTTTTATTGTAAATGTATATTAATGTAGTATAGATATAAGACGACTTTTGACAATGTTGTCATTCACTCGATAGAGATTCATTATGAGTGATAGCTTCTTAGGCAAATCAGTTTCAACATCTGAAAATTATCTCAGTTCTTTGCCCAATAGGCTATTCATGTAACTAGTTAAAGAAGAGAAGACTGCACGAATCGTTTACTTTGCTGACAATTACATATTTTTTGTTTGGTTAGAAGAGTCCTCCGAATATTTTATGAACCATGTAGACCATCTACATGGGGATGGTAAAAGAAGGGTCCACCTGTAAAAAATGGGTCTAACCCTTGGGGATCAGGTCACAAACAGTGGTGAGAATCCAATGCCCTGAAAACCTAAGGGCTATACGATTGAGTCCTTGGGTTTCCGAAATAGTGTAAAAAGAAGTGCTTCAAATTAATCTGAAATAAATGTTTACTGTCGGATTTGGTGAATTCAATAATAGATGCCCAAGAATCAAATAATTTTCTGTGATAGAACAAAATATCTTTCACATATCCTGGATGAAGTAAAGACTCTGGGTTTCCGAGAAGCTACCACTTTAACAACATGAAAAAACCATTGTTCAACTCTTTGACAATATGAAATTATCTATTTTTGAAACCAGAATTAAAGTAGTAGATCTGAAAAAAGTACATTCTTCAATTCTTTCAGTAACTTCTTTGTAAGCAAATTTGTCATTAGACAAATTGTTTATGATAAGGTATTACCTTTCTAGTTTGCATAACAAATATATAATGCTTTGTTTTTATTAACATGTATAAATAAAAAGTAAAAATATGTTGTGTTTATATTTTACCTCACTTCTACAAACACTTTATATGTGGTAGTCATCACCAAATCAAAACCAACACATATAAGTAATTTAATTTACTATGTTTATGAATACTTCTTTAATAGAAAACTTAATAAAAGTGGTAAAATGACGAAAATACCTCTATATCATTAAAATATTCTATAAATTTACTGCCATTAAAGAATTCTCTATATTGAAATTTAGAGAATTTTCTCCGTTCTTCTCTTTACTTCAAAGAACCATTTAGAGATTCTTTTTTTTAAGCACAAATATCACTAGAGTCTTAAATTTCTTTATTTTGGAGAATTTATAGAAGATGAATTGATTCATTATGATATATCTTAAAATATAAAGCAAAATATAACATATCAACATTATTAAATAAAAATAATTTCATATTAGATGTTAGTTATAATTAAGAAAATAACAAATAATAATTAGCATTTTTAACCAAATATATTCATAATGTACAAAATATTGTTTACTCGTACGTAAACCTCATTATTTGATAGAATCGGAAATAAAGTTTGCAATAAATTATATTCCATTGTATGTAATTGTATGAAAAGATTTTGGAAAAAGTTTCTTAGTTTCATTGATCAAGTTTTTTTTATCTTTTTCAATTAATAATCACTAAACTTTCTTATACGTTATTAAACTTTTAAAAATTGGTTACTTATATTCTTTTAACTTAAAAGTTATCTGTAATTAACTAGAAAAGTTTTACAGTAAAAATAATTGGAATCAGTTTTATTGTTTCCGGACCCTACATCATTCAAACCCTTACAACCAACGTCTCGCTGCCCCATCGTCAAATGCTCTATATCACTGCCCACCACCGCCGTTAGACCCTACAATCAACCTTCTCTTTTCGATCCTTTTTTTCCAATTCTTTTTTTTATATTCGTCTATACATACTTCATTAAATTGTTGTATAAAAGAGAGCATTAAAAGGCAAACAAAAACATATCAAAAAGGAGATTKATGGCAGAGGCCAACGATGACGATAGACGGTCTAGAGAATATGCGACGATGGGGGGCAATGATGTCGTTGGGTGCAAGACATTCGAATGAAGTATGGTTTGGGTACGATAAAATTGATTTAGGAAAACTTTTTTACTTTATCCTTCCTAGCAGATTACTGGTAACTTTTTTGGGTTAAAAGAATGTGAGTAACCAATTTTTATAAGTTCGATGACTTATTTGTTCAAGAAAAAAATGTTCAGGGGCTTAATGATTCAA